CCTCAAGCAGCACCAGGGGATGTTCAGGTGGGGTATCAGGAAAAGATTCTTCACTGAAGAGGGATGAAACATTGGCACCACTGCCCAGGGCATTGGTTCTTCCTCCAACTCCAGAATGGGTTCACCCTCAAACACTGTTTGGGATCATGCCAACAGTGAGAGCAGACACAGCTTTATTTCTTTTCCACAGGTACCTGAAGATCTCCAAACCATTCCTTCCTCCTGGGTGTGCACAGTGAGTAGACACAACTCTGTGCTCCCCAACCTCTGTCAGGTAGAATTTCTGTCCATGCAAAATCCCCAGGAATTTATTTTGGGAAGCTGTGCATCAGCAGTTCTGTACAAGGTCCCTGTCTGTCAGCAGGACCAGCACTGGGAAACTCCCAACACAAATGGCAGATGCTCTTGCTTCCTGCCCCATGGCACCAGGCCCTTCCCAAGGACAGGAAAAGCCCTCTCCACCTGTGGGAATCCCCACTCCTGTCAGCAAAGAAGGAAAGGGAAATAGAGACATTATGCCAGTTCTCACTCTCCTAAAGAGCTTTTTCATGGCTAGGAGTTAGCAATTCCTATATTCCCTTTAGGTCCTGCTCAGCCTAAACAAATATTGAATAAGAAATGGGATTTAGGGGAAGTGGATCGATTCCTGCAGCCAGGCAGGGATTTTAGAAGGCAGGATCCAACCTCCTTGCCTGGATTGTGCAGCTGAGGGCACTCTGGATAAATTCATCCTGGGGTAAATATTCCTGTCCAGCCTGCAGGTTTTACCTGCACCAGAACAAGAGAGGCACAGCCAGGTGGATTTATCAGTGGAGCAGTGGAAACACAGCCCCAGGCACAAATAGACAATATTGATTTATTGCTAATCAAGGCCAGGATGTGTGAGGGTAATTTCTGTGCCAGGCAGATGATCCCAGGTGCTGCAGCTGGGAATTGCCCACTGAAGCATGAGATCCATGTCCTGGGTAAGTCAGGGCATCTTGGAAGGGAGGGAGAGACAGATCTGCTGACAGGACAGGGCTTTGCACTGGTGGTAACCCTCAGGAAGGGGCTGTTCCCAGTGATGAAAATCCCAAGACAGAAGATTTTGTCCAGGTTAATTTACACCTTCCATTACCCTGCCTTACATATCCTCATCCTCATCTTCATGGCACCATCCAAGGGGTGTCCAGCAGGAAATCTCAGGAATGCCAGGGGGAATGCTGAATTCAGGAGGAAGAGCTGGTTCTGGTGCTGTCACAGACATCTTTTATGAAAAATCCTTTCCTTAGGGTTTTTCCTCCTGAGAAGCTGAGAGGCCTCAAGAACAAAATGTAAACAATGGTTATCTGCTGCTGTGGAATGCAACAGGTGCATCTGTGATTGGCCCATCTTGGATGTTTGTAATTAATAACCAATCACAGTCAGCTGGCTTGGACAGAGAGTC